AGTACAACCATGGGTACGCCATAGTAAAGCATAGTACCCATAGTACACCATAGTACACATAGTGTACCATAGACACAATATACACCATAGTATCACATAGTAAAACCATACAACCATAGCACATCATAGTACACCATAGTACACCATAGCACACCATATACACCATAGTACACCATAGCACACCATAGTACACCATAGTGCACCATTGCACACATAGCACACATAGCACACCATAGTACAACCAAGTGCACCATTGCACACTATACACACCATAGTACACATAGATACACCAAGTACAGCCAAGCACACCATAGCACACCATAATACACCACAGCGCACCATAGTACACCATAGTAATACACCATAGTACACCAATTATCCTATAGTACACCATAGTACAACCATAGTACACAACATAGTATACCGTATACACAAGACACCATAGCACACCAATAGTACACCATAGTACCCATAGTACACATAGTATACAATAGTACACCATAGCACACCATAGCACACCACATACACCATAGCACACTATATTTACACCATAGTATACCATAGCACACCAAAGTACACCAAAGTACCCCATAGTGCACCATGTCTTCCAAGTACACCATAGTAACCATAGTACACCATAGTACACCATAGTACACCATCAGCACACCATAGTACACCATAGTACCCATAGTACACCATAGCACACAATAGTACACCATAGTACACCATAGACACCACAGTGCACCATAGTACACCAAGTACACCATAGCACACCATATACCACCCATAGTACACCATAGTACACCATAGCACACCATAGTACACCATAGTACACCATAGCACACCATAGTACACCATAGTACACCATAGCACACCATAGTACACCATAGCTTACAGTCCCATCTCTTTGCATGGGACAAAATTACACATTTTCTAAGAAAATGAAGTAAACAATTGCAGGTGTTTACCACAGAGCTCAACAGTACTATTTATTGAACATAACCGAGGGATTCATATTTTAGCTAAACCAATAACTCACATCATTCCAGATTACCACAGGAAACTTAATGTGAACAAGTAGGCCTTCTGCAGTGCTCCTCTATTACGTATTTGACCTCTTATCTAAACTTAGTGACGTTCGCTATTTACCTGACGATGTTTCTTCCTTTAAGTAGAGTAGGTTGCTAGTACAGTAGAACAGGTTATTAGTAAAGTTGTATAAATTGCTAGAAAAGTAGTGTATGTAGTAAGAGCAGTTGTTAGAAAAGCGGCATAGGTTACCCAAACAACAGTATTGGTTGCTAGGACAACAGTATAAGTTGCTAGAACAGCAGTGTAGGTTTCTGGAGCAGTATTACTGGATGCTAGCCACATTCGTACAGGTTACTATAAGAGCAGTATAGCATGTTAGAACTGCATTATATTTTGCTAGAACAGCGGTTTAGCTTGCTAAATCAGAAGTGCACTTCACACGTGCAAGAGTATATCTTGTTAGAGCAACAGCATACAGTTCCAGAGCAGCATAGAAGTGCCTTTTAGAGCACAGCTATTTAATCATGGTGGACGGCTCAACCTAGTAATTTCGTGGAAACTAATACATCAATTTCTTCACTAAAAATGGCGAAAGTGGCATCTATAAGTTTAGAAATTTTTCTCTAGTTTCACGTACAAACCAATATCCAAATTGTTTTAATAAAATTGGAAATTTTGGGCTTACGCAGCCCAATTATAATATGACACTTCCTTTGAGCAAAACACGCAAACTTTTTAAGTTTGAAGTCGCTTAGGAGCTTCATTCTAAAGTTACTGGCATTGACTAGAAGTTTGAAGCCAATCGAAAGAATCATTCACAAAATATTACTGGAAAACTAGTGTTTTAATTTTAAAAATTTCTACAAAAAAAAAAAAAAAAGGTAACTACACAATCCAGAAATCAATCAAAACCTTTCTCAAAGTAAGATAAACCAGCACTAAAGGTTTGAAGTCAATCAGAAGAGGCATTTTCCTGTTAACGAACGAGAAAGAATTTGCTATACTTGACAATTTTAAGCTTACATTACCCATAATTAAAGTGAAGCTGCCTTTGAGAAAAACGCACCGGCACTAAACGCCTGAAGCTGATCTATAGAAGGAAGTAGCGAACAAAATACAAAAAAAAAAATAAAGTTTGTTAATTTATGCTAACACAATAAAACCGTACAAGACATCATCCTTTCCGTAAGTTATATCAGTCATGGATGATTGAAAAGAACCATTCTAAAGTAATTCCACGGAAAAAAAACCACTACTTTTTTTAAAATGCTTTTTTTCGATTGGCTTCTACACACTCCAATAATAATCCTAACATGTTTTCTAGTGAGACACACCAGCACTGAGTGTTTTGAAGCCGAACAGAGGAAGCTTTCTCAAGTTATCGTACAGAAACCAAAATCAAGATCGGTCTACATGAAAGTGACCAGAAACTACACTGAGAAGAAAGTACCTGCATCAGCATCTCCCCAGTTGTAATACTACTGTGAATAGAATTTGAAGTCCATCGAATGAGGAGTTATTAAGTTATATACGAAAACCTTCAGTGGGAAAAATTCTGTCAACCATTAAAGGCTCCACATCTGGAATACATGATTTAAGGGACCAACTGCTAAGAAAAAATCTCAGCCACTTGGTTAAAGTGTCGGTAGCAATAACAACAACAACAACAACAATAATAATAATAATAATAAATAATAATAATAATAATAATAATAATAATAATAATTATTATTATTATTATTATTATTATTATTATTATTATTATTATTATTATTATTATTATTATTATAACCTGTATTTCTACAAGAACATGCTACAACTTTTATAGACCAAGCTGACGCTACAGACATTTTATATAGAAAGCTCCTGGGCAAGCAGAGCATTTCGGGCGACTGACGTTTATCTTAATCCTGTGGATGCGACCCACAACAGTCGGATAACACCCAGGTACCTACTTACTGCTAGGTGAACAGTAGAAGCAGGTGTAACGAAACTTGTACAACATTTCACTCGTGCCGGAATTAATCCTCGGACCCTCAGTGTGTGAGCTGATGACGCTATAAGTTAAGCCACGAGCACTTAAAGCATTAGTGAACATGTTAAAATTCTTCAGCTATGATGATTAGACAATCACGTCTTTAAGGTGTCAGAAACTACATTAAAGTGTCAGCAGCTAAGTTAATGTATCAGACTTCACGCTAAAAAGAGTCAGCAAATATATAAGGTGTCAGTCACCATGTTAAGATGTCAGCATCTATGATAAAAGCAATGAAGGCCACTAGGACCAGGTGGAGGGTGTGGTATCCTGTCGTTCTGACGCATGATGGTGTCAGCCAGTTACTGAAATTGTTGGTGTGTTGTGTATGATTACCTTACCTTGTTGTGTATGATTACCTTACCTTGTTGTGTATGATGACTTACCTTGTTGTGTATGGTTACCTTACCTTGTTGTGTATGGTTACCTTTCCTTGTTGCGCATGATTACCTTACCTTGTTGTGTATGATTACCTTACCTTGTTGTGTATGATGACTTACCTTGTTGTGTATGATGACTTACCTTGTTGTGTATTATTACCTTACCTTGTTGTGTATGATTACCTTACCTTGTTGTGTATGATTACTTTACCTTGTTGTGTATGATGACTTACCTTGTTGTGTATGGTTACCTTACCTTGTTGTGTATGGTTACCTTTCCTTGTTGCGCATGATTACCCTACTTTGTTGTGTATGATTGTCTTACCTTGTTGTGTATGATTACCTTACCTTGTTGTGTATTATTACCTTACCTTGTTGTGTATGATTGCCTTGCCTTGTTGTGTATGGTTACCTTTCCTTATTGTGTATGATTACCTTACTTTGTTATGTATGATTGCCTTACCTTGTTGTGTATGATTACCTTACCTTGTTGTGTATGACTACCTTACCTTGTTGTGTATGATTACCTTACCTTGATGTGTATGATTACCTTACCTTGTTGTGTTTCATTACCTTACCTTGTTGTGTTTGGTCACCTTACCTTGTTGTGTTTGATTACCTTACCTTGTTGTGTTTGATTACCTTACCTTGTTGTGTTTGATTACCTTACCTTGTTGTGTATGATTACCTTACCTTGTTGTGTTTGATTACCTTACCTTGTTGTGTTTGATCACCTTACCTTGTTGTGGATGATTATCTTACCTTGTTGTGTATGATTACCTTACCTTGTTGTGTTTGATCACCTTACCTTGTTGTGTATGATTACCTTACCTTGTTGTGTATGATTACCTTACCTTGATGTGTATGATTACCTTACCTTGTTGTGTATGATTACCTTACCTTGTTGTGTATGATTACCTTACCATGTTGTGTTTGATCACCTTACCTTGTTGTGTATGATTGCCTTACCTTGTGTTCACGTGATTACCTTAACATTACTGCCTATGGTTATCTCACCATCGAGCTTTCTCACAGAGTTGTGTTGGCTGTGGTTGAATCACAGCTCCTGGTCTCGTTTCCTAATCATCAATCGTTGCATGTGATGTTTCCTACCCGCTCAGACACTCCGGTACTTACGTCCACATTCAGCTCGCGTCACTGTTAAATATCTGAGAGAATATGTGTCAATTTGGTATTTCTTATAGCTGTGTGTGTATTATAGGTGAAGGTGTTGCAGTATGTATGTGCTGAGTGCACATGTTGGTAAGTGAAATGAATTTGATTGAATGTATGTGTTAGTATGAGTGAATATATGTGATCTTGTGAATGTACACGTGCTTACTGAAGAATTTAGTTAAAAAACTATTGCACAACTTATTCTTCTAGATTTTTCAACGACGATATTGAGATTACCAATGTTCCATGGACCATGGAATGTTTATGTTACATTTACAATCTTTCCAAACTTAGCTGCTCTACTTGTCAGGGTCACACGACATTCTCAGCTCTTGGGAGCCAGTATATAAAAGGAGAGACAGTGTCCTCACACTCACACACCTTCTGTACACAGGCAACACAAACTAGCCATGAAGCTTCTAGTGAGTAGCGTAGACAAAACTGGTTTTTTTTTGTCTTGTTTAACGATTATTGCATAGTTGGGACAGTTTTATTTATTCTCTGGAAAAACTACCGTAATTTTGGGGGTTGATGGTTAAGTTTACTATGGTTCGATAAAAATGTTATTACTATATACCGTAATCTTAAAATTATTAGTTTTTAAATTTTTGACCAAACTGTGAATCATTGTATATTAGTTTAAAGATCAGTAAAGGTTTTATGTGAATAGTAACAGTGATGGTCTTTAGTTACAATAGTAACAGTGATGGTCTTTAGTTACAATAGTAACAGTGATGGTCTTTAGTTACAATAGTAACAGTGATGGTCTTTAGTTACAATAGTAACAGTGATGGTCTTTAGTTACAATAGTAACAGTGATGGTCTTTAGTTACAATAACAAACTTATTAACATTTCCTTTTTATTTTTGTTGCTGTAAAAATGAACTTACAGAGGATTTTGGTATTACATAAAGCTGGAAACAAACAAGTTTTTGTATGCACATATATATATATATATATATATATATATATATATATATATATATATTTATATATTATATATATATATTATAATATATATATATATTATATATATATATATATATATATATACATATATATGAGTGTGTGTGTGTACTCACCTAATTGTGGTTGCAGGGATCGAGACTCAGCTCCTGGCCCCGCCTAATAA